AAAAACTGAAATAAATAACAACTGAATTAACAAACTGACTCAAACTGACACTACTATAACTGAAACAAATAACTACACATGCTGTCCTACGAACACAGTGGGGACCACTGCTGTGGGGCCCACATCAGTGTTCTCTACAGTTTTAAATTTTGTATTCCATTTCCATCATCAATTAAAAACATTTATTGTTTATCACTGTAGCCAGTTTTTTTAATTTTTTATTTAGTTCTATTTTTAAAATCTCATTTTTTAACTATGACATCATGGTTTGACACCCAAATGGTTTAATTGCTTACCTACCACTTGGACAGAAGAATGGTTTCATTTTTGGGTTGGTTCTAAAAATGTGGGTTTTATATCGCTAAAAGTATTGTATATAGATCTAATTGGAAAGGAAAAAAATACCTCAGGGCCAATTGGTAGAATGAGTACTCTACCATTAAGGTCCAATCGGCCTTGCTGACTTTTTAAGTGCAGAAATTTCTGCATTACTACAAGGGAGATTGGCCAAACAAATGGGCAATAGAAATCTCTTTTGATAGTAAAAAAAAAAAAACTTTATTAAAAGAAAGAAAAGAAGATTACAAGGAAGGAGACAAGAAGTCATGCAAGAGAAAAGGATTCTTTATGGTAAAGCTATAATCCATGCTGTCTTATGGGCTATTTGGGAATAAAGAAACTGGAGGATCTTTGAAGATGGTTATGCTTCCCTTGTGTGCCTGAAAGGTAGAATAATTTTCTTAATCACTTCTTGGGTGCTCACACACAAGTTCTTTAGACGCATTTCTTACAGAGATATGGACAGAAATCTGATGCAGGCCCTTCACTTTTCTTGTTTTGAGCCAGACTATTTTGCCTCAATCTCTTCTTACCTCTGTCTACCATCATTCTCCAATTTGATGGAAGTTGTAGAAAGATGCAAACTTTCAAAGAAAAGCTGGTATTGAGTGGTTAATAGCCAGATCTGATGGTGGGTAGTGTGCTCTTTTAGTGCCCCATTGGGGATTCTGATATCTCTGAAGCCGAAGTTCATGTGCTTCTTGCTGGTCTTCGGTTTGCTGATTCTCTTGCCCTGTCTTTGAGTGTGGTGGAAGTTGATTCTAGAAATGTTATTGGTTGGGCAAGCAGGCTGGAGCAAAGCCCATGGAGATTTGATTTCCTTCTCAGTAAGATCAAAGAGATTGCTGCAAAGTTACTATGCTCTTTTAGATGGGATCCCTAGAGAGCTCTATAGCTGTGCACCTAATTAGATAAGGCATCTTTTTTGTTGAGGTTTTAGACAAATTGTGTAGTCTATAGTGGTAGTTTTTTATTATTTATTGTTTAGATAGGAAGTGGGGACTACAGCACTCTTGTTGGGTCCTTTTGGAGCGGTTATTTTAATTGTTTTATATGTTAGCTGCCCTATAAAGGCATATTGGTCTTTGTACTCTTTATTATTTTAGATTATGAATAATAGTGAAGAGGGCAGCCAGCATTATTGCTCTCTTTTCTCTCTCAAATCTCTTCTCTTCCTTTTCTCCTTTCTTTTCTTCTTCTTCAAGAAATATTCTTTTCTTTTACCAATCTTTATTTCAGCACCTTTCTACTTTTTTTTTTCTTTTTTCATCAGTATAGATAAACTTATCTTATAAAATGCTGCAGTACCTAATATAAAAATGCTGGAGCACCTAATATGATACATACACCTCTTAAACCTCTGTGCTTGTGATAAGTACCTTTATTATCAACCTTGTTGGGTCAAATCTGGAGTACCTAACAGGCTTTAAGTTGGGTCAAGTACAATATTGTTTCTAGCTTTTAGATTAGCAGAATTTGGATATTTATGTTAGTATTAACATTTTTCACCCGGAAAAGCCCCTTCATTTACACCTTTTTATGGTTCTTCCAGAAATTCAACCTTTTACTTTCACCTACTTTTGATTCTGACTTTGTTGTACAAAAATTCCTTGTATTTGGCTGTTTGATTTGTATATTCATGTAAGAATATATTGGTTAATTTTAATTTATTTCGCAAAATTCAGAACCTATGTCATTGATATTTTTTTGATTATTTTCCTTGTTTATTACATGCATGATCATCAGGGCAGCTGCTTACACCCAGATCCAAAAATATACTGAAGCAATTGAAGATTGTCTTAAGTCCATTGAAATTGACCCCAATTATGGCAAGGCATACAGTCGTCTTGGCCTTGCTTATTACGCACAAGGGAATTATAGTGATGCCATCAACAAGGGATTTATGAAAGGTTGGTACATTATATTTATGCATTCATTAAGATGCAAGATAATCAAAGTCAAATTTACTGGAATCCTATCATATATGGGTGTTAGATTTTAAACTTTTTATGTTAAGTGAGGCATATTTTCAAGTAGTTCTGTTTGTATGTCTTGTAGAACGTAATTTTACATTTATAGTTTACTTGGAAGAAGTGTTTTAAAAGGTATGGGAGGTGTACGCATGGAGGCGTGCCTCCAGGTGAGACGCCCCCCAAACGCCCTGAGGCGTCGCCCAGAGGTGCTAACACCTCTGTGGCATACGCCTCAGGTGCAAGAAGCGTACGCCTCATATGCTTTCTTCATGAGGTGTGCTAGAGGTGTACACCTCATGCGCCTCATGCACACCTCATGTAAAAAGACAGAAAAAAATAAAAAAATAAAAAAGAAAAGAAAAAAGGAAAGGAAGGGAAAGGAAAAGAAAGGAAAAGAAAGGAAAGGGGAAGAAAAAGAAAGAAAAGGAAAGGAAAGGGAAGGGAAGGGAAGGCTTATGCTTCATCCCCCCCTCCTCTTAAGGAGGCTTATGCCTCCTTGTGTTCGATAGGCTTACGCTTCTTATGTTCTGAACTATTCCTCACGCCTCTAGGTAGTGGAATGCCTCGCGTCAGTCCACCTGTGTTCTTATTAGAAATCAGCAAGAGAAATAAGGAAAAGAATAGGAGAGAAGTAGAGAATGAAGAGAAGGGTGCAGTATATTGTGGTCCTGCCACCCCATCATTAGCATTTATATGTTTCTTGTAAATATTTGCAAATGCAAATATACCCCTGCTGCCTAATAAGTGATAATAACAGTAATAAAAAACATAAAGAACATGCAACCACATAGAAACAACTACTGTACTGTGTTCCTACACACCCCTCAAGTTGGGAATAGATATTTTTCATTTCCATCTTGCATAAATCTGTCTCCAACTTGGCCTTTGTAACTCCTTTGGTGAAGAGATCAGCAAGTTGCATATCGGATGTAACATAAAGAAGACACTTCTTGAGAAGCTATTTTTTCTATGATGAAATGCTAGTCCTCCTCGATGTGTTTGGTTCTGTTATGTTGGATTGGGTTATGAGCAACATTAATGGCGGCTTGATTATCACAATACAACATCAAGGGTTTTTCATACTCAATTACCAAYTCAAGAAGAGACCTTAGCACAATAGTTCAGACACACCATTAGCCATGGACTTGTACTTTGCCTCTGCATTGAAATGGGCAACAACATTCTGTTTCTTACTTCTCCATGGAATARGATTTCCTCCAAGGAAGGTACAATACCTAGAGGTGGATCTTCTATCATTAACACATCTGGCTCAGTTTGCATTTGTGTATACCTCCAACTTCATATGACCATTATTCAGTTTGATTTGAATTGAAGTGAAGAGCTCATTGCTACTCCTTTTTCTTTCTCACCCTTGTTATCTTCTTTTCATTTCTCTTCCCGTATCTATTTCCTCCCTTCCGCCTCTATTTTCTTCATCAATCTGCTGATCTCTTTCCAATCAAATAGAGTAGAGGCGACTGAATCATACCTGTGAAATTTCCATCACACATCAGAGTAGCATAGCTCGACCACATTTATTGCGGCGGAAGCAGAAAATCTAACCCTCATTGCTGATCGTGTCTCTTGTTTGATGAACTCGACATGGCAACACTGAGTTATGAGCTTTGCTTGATTCAGACTGCACATGTTGAACGGAAGTAGTAGGGGAATCGATAATCAACACCACAATCATCAGTGACACCATTGAGACTGCCCTGATAATAGCAACCTACCCTGATCTCTCTACTCCAGTTGAAAATTCAAAATATCGAAAGGGTGAATTATTACCTCTAAGCAATGCTGATCCGGAGGGCTAATTATTACCTTTTTGATCTCTCTGCTCTAGCACTCGTTAATCTAAGTAAAATGTATTTTTCATGTTCTATGTTTCTCATTTTCTTATTTTTTGTTGTTTTTTTTTTCATTTTTTATGTTTTTCTATAATTTTTTATATGTTTTTGCACGATTTCTGTTATTTTTTCTTTAATCTTTGCTTTTTTATGTTTTTTTGTAATTCCTGTTATGTAACTTCATTTTTGTGTTTTTATAATTTTGTTATATGTTCTTGCAATTTCTATTATTTTCCATAATTTTAGTTTTTTGTATGTTTTTTAATACTTCTCTATAATTTCTATTGTTTTTTTTTTGCATTCTTTGTATTTTCTATAATTTATGTACTCTTTCTACAATTTTCATTACTTTTTCCATTTTCTATGCTTTTCTATAATTTTTGCTATATTTTCCTGTAATTTCTTTCTTTTGAATTTTATTTATTTTTCCTTAATTTCTGAATTACCACTGTTTTTTAATGACATAAAAAATTAATGGGTTGGATGGGTTGGTTAGGTCAGGGTGGGTTTGGGTTCAACCCAATCCCAACCCATTTATTTTTCTCCAAATGGGTCATTAATGGGTCAATAGGTTGAATGGTGTGGGTTGAAGCTCAACCCACACCCAACCTGCCCTAGGGGGTAAGCAAATGGGTAGATTCTACCTAGAACTGAATGGAACTTGTTTTCAAGAAGAAGAAGAAGAAGAAGAAGAAGAAGAAAAGAACGTGTTTTGGAATGGTAGAATACTGATGTATTTCATTCTATTGCCAATCGGCATATTTATACAGTAAGTTGCTGCAATAAATAGAAAGAAGAAAAAAATAGAAAGAAAATAAAATAGAAAGTAGAAAAATAGAAAGAAAAGAAAATAGAAAGTACAAGAATAGAAAGAAAAACTTTCTAAATCAATCCTTCCACAACCCTAGGAATATATACAATTCTATTTTTACACAACTACCAAATATAGATTTGCACCAGTAACCNATATATACAATTCTATTTTTACACAACTACCAAATATAGATTTGCACCAGTAACCCCACGTTTTCCAACACTCCCCCTCAAGCTGGTGAATAGAGATCCTCCATTCCCARCTKGGCTATAATTCTTCGAAAGTCTGTACTATTGAGCCCTTTAGTAAGTACATCGGCCAGCTGTCCTTTTGTAGACACATAGGGAGTGCAAATCAACTTGCTGTCTAGTTTCTCTTTTATAAAGTGTCGGTCAATTTCGATGTGATTCGTCCTGTCATGTTGAACAGGATTGTGAGCAATATTGATGGTTGACTTGTAATCACAATATAGTTTCATAGGCTCTTCTCGTGGAATCTTCAGGTCTTTTAAAATTACCTTCAACCAGAGTAATTCAAACACTCCTTGTCCCATAGCCCTAAACTCTGCCTCTGCACTTGACCGAGCCACTACATTTTGTTTCTTACTCCTCCAAGTGACTAAGTTTCCTCCCAAGAAGGTACAGTAACCGGAAGTGAACCGTCTATCTACTGGAGATCCTGCATAATCGACATCTGTATATGCTTCAAGAGCCAGTCCCCCATTTCTTCTGAATAAAATTCCTTTTCTTGGATTGGCTTTCAAATAGTGCAGAATTCGATGGGCAGCCTGCAGATGAACTTCTTTAGGATTATGCATAAATTGACTTATTACACTTACATTGTATGCAATATCTGGCCGTGTATGTGCAAGATAAACGAGTTTTCCAACCAGTCTTTGGAACATCTCCTTGTCTACACTTGCATTTTCACTGGCTTCTCCAAGTTTATGATTGGGATCTATAGGCRTGGAAGCTGGTTTACATGCCATATTTCTTGTTTCTCTCAAAAGATCAACAACATAYTTTTGTTGAGAGATAAAGATGCCTTGTTTAGAATGTGCTACTTCAATTCCGAGAAAATACTTTAGTCTCCCCAAGTCTTTTATCTCATTCTCTGGAAAGGCAGTTTTTCAATGCTTCCTTCACCTTTTTATCATTCCCAGTAACGATTATATCGTCCACATAGACTAATAGTGTAGTAACTCTCCCTGAGGCTGTGTGTTTGATAAACAATGTGTGGTCACCTTGACTTTGCTTGTAACCTGCACTAAGCATCACCTTTGTAAACCTTCCAAACCATGCTCTCGGAGATTGTTTGAGGCCGTATAGTGCTTTCTTCAACCTACAAACTTTGTTCCCCTTAATGCCTTCTCAAAAACCCGGTGGAATGTCCATGTATATTTCCTCTTCTAGATCACCATGGAGAAATGCATTCTTTACATCAAGCTGTTGCAAATCCCAATTATAGTTAGCAGCCAAAGACAACAACACCCTTATTGTATTCATTTTAGCTACTGGGGCAAAAGTTTCCTGATAATCCACCCCATAAGTCTGTGTATATACCTTGGCTACCAGTCATGCTTTGTACCTTTCTAACGACCCATCAGATTGTACTTAATTGTGAACACCCATTTACAACCTACAGTCTTCTTGTTTCTTGGTAGATCCACAACTTCCCATGTGTTGTTCTTTTCTAGTGCCTCCATTTCCACTCTCATGGCTTTGCTCCACTCCTTATTAGGAATTGTCTCGGCTAGAGTACTAGGAATTGGAATGGTGTTAAGGCTGGCTAGAAAACTTTTATGGGATTTAGAGAATCTTTGGAACGACACAGATTTGGCTAAAGGGTACAATGGGCGTTTGGTACATTCTCTGATTCCTTTTCTCAGTGCAATAGGTAGGTCATACTCA